GTCCCTGTTGCGACCCGAGCAACATCGAGGGCGGTGGCTTCGGTCTTCTTGTTGCTATAAAGAGTAAAGTAGCCGATCACTGCAGCGGCCGCAAATCCCGCGAGTGCCATCCTGGCAGGGCACATGGGCAACCTGCTCCGCTGGTGGAGTACCTCTGGTCCATGCTGGGTGGCCGAGCTCACACGTGGGTTCCCCTGGTATCCGCTGCCCTCAGTCGAGGCAGATGATGCAGCCATGCCCACGCCTGCCGCCCTCACCGGTTGGCGGCCTTGTCCTGGCAGCGGTGGGGCTTGTATCTTTGTTGGGTTCACATTACCTGGTGCCACCATTGTATTTTTCTTTTTTCAAACTAATGCTCAAATATTATCAGTGTTTTGTTTCAGGATGTTGTGCCCAATGGTGGCTTGTTATTATATATAGGCTAGGATAGAATGGGGAGGGGCTGGTCGGTTGGTTTTGTGATTGACAGGTGGTGGACATACATTGATTGTAGAAACAAATTATGTGTGGGGTGGTTATTTTTGTGCTTGTAAGTGGTGGTTATATTGTGATGAGAGGTTGTGGTTGTAGTTTTGAGAGGTGGTTAAAGTAGTTTTTTATTTTTTTATTTATTTTTTTTAATTTTTTTTTTTCGTGTGAGAGCGATAGCCCAATATATTGTATAGTCCCGCTCACCTGTCCATGGTGGGCAGTGCCCACCTCTTTGTTTTATATGAAAAACGTATTATGAGAATACATTTTTCAATTAATTTAATTGAAAAACGTATTCTCAGAATACGTTTTTCATATAAAACAAAGTGGTGGGCACTGCCCACCATGGGCAGGGGATCAAAATTTATAAATTGTATTAGTGTAATTTATTTACTAGATATGGCTGTATATTTCTATTTTTATCCAAAAATTAAGGGGGCAAAAATACAATTTTTTTAAGTGTCAAATTTCCTAACATACTATCGACAATGGCCGATTTTTTTTTTTTCAACCAACGATAGGAAATGCTCATAGATAAAAAACTGTTCAAGTACAGACCGATGCTACCAACTGGTAGAAATGAACTGGGAGAACCACTACACAGAGTGGCCTACAAGACAACCAAACCTGAGATACCTAGCCGGCATAACTAAGGATGGCATCGGTTCGGGTTCGGATCGGATGGAACCTCAGGGCACCCAAAACAAAAACCCAAACTTAAAAACCAAAACCAAAACCAAAACTGTTTCGGGTGAAAATCCTTCACCAAAACCAAAACACGCGGATACCCAAAAACCAAACGGATACCCAAAAAACCAAAAATATTATAATAAAACACCAAAGACAACAACATAAAACATGATAACTTAGAGAGTACCAGGCAACCAGTCACAAATTAGCAAGTACCAACGTACAGTACAAGCCATAAAGGTAGTAGAGTACATAGCTAAGCCAAGCCATCACGGGAGACGGGGAGAGGATAAGAGGGAGAGGAAATTTCCACTTATATAGCTAGGGTTTTTGGTGGGCTTTTTGATGGTCCGTCTATTTTGGGCACCCAACGGAGCACCACGGGCGAAATATAGGATCCGCACCAAAACCGAAGACTTTCGGGTACCCGAAACCGCAAAACCGTGGGTGAAATTTGAGAACCAAAACCGAAAACCGCAGAACCAAACACCGCGGATATCCGAACCGAAACCGAACCGCTGCCATCCCTAGGCATAACAGCCTGAACCAAGGCACTGCAACCAACCAAACATCTAGCAGAGGAAACAACACCAAAGAGACCCAAAAAAGAAAAGACACCAAAAAAAACCGACCAGACAGAACACAAAAAGCAAAATCTAAACACCAAACTAACTAAACAAACAGAGCCGCAGCAAAAGCAGAAGAAGGACAGAACAGACAACAGCAACCTCAAGAACACAGCTAGAGCAGACTTCACTTGGCAGCAACATTGCAAAACTCCATCCACTCCAGAACTGCTCTTTTGACTATCACTGTTTCAGGAAGCCTTTCAGAGTTTGAAAACCCAGAGGTTTCGAGCTCGCCACAGCCACCACAAGATGTAAGTTGATAACTGGATTCTAGCTTCAGAAATATCAGAGTTGTCTAAGATACAAACCTGCCACCACCATAATCTGAAGTTAGTGTCTGGAATAGTGAGATCCCAATACACAGGGGCAATACTCCAAACCATCTTAGCCTTAGGACACTTCAAAAACAGATGTTCAATAGATTTATCTGCTTCCCACAGACTTTACAAATAACATCAACATCCAACCCTTTCTTCTTCAAATTTAAATTCACAGGAAGAATGCCAGTAAAACACTTCCAGATGAAGTGTTTTATTTTCCCCAGCACTCTCAGCTTCCAACTCCTGCTTCTGACCACATCATCAACCTTAGCAGACTTACTACCTTCAGCAATGTCAAGCCTTTGAATTTATTCAGTTAACAGATAGGAGTAAGAATCAACAACAGAAAAATCCCCCTTCTTATTTACCTTCCATTTCCAGACATCATCTCTGTCTGAAGCAATGGTATCAATTTGCAATATAGCAGCACAGTCAGAAGCAGAGAAGAAGCTTCTAACCAAGTCCTCATTCCAGCGCCTTTTTGTAACATCCTTGAGCTCAGCAACCCAAACAAGAGAAGATGAGGCAGAGTTTAAGAGCTTAGGAGCCAATCCCTTAAGGAGAGGGACCCATCCACCATCCTGGATTTTAGTATTCTGTCCAGATCTCACTTGTTTCATACAGTTCATATTAAAGGTAGGAATCACAGTATGCCAGTTATTCCACAACCAAGAAGAGGATGAATTTTTCACAGCTTCAAAAATAGAAGTATTGGGGAAATATTTGCTCTTAAGAATTTGACTTACAAGGAGATTTGGCTGAGTGGTAATTCTCCACAGTTGTTTGAGTATAAGGGCCTCATTGAAGAGTCTAATATCTTGGAAGCCCAGCCCCCCTTTCTGTCTAGGAAATGAAAGAAAGTTCCAGCTTTTCCAATGGATTCCTCTAGCCTGAGAGTCACCCTTACTCCACCAAAAATGGGCAGTGAGTTGAGAGATTTCATTGCAGATCCCAATTGGTAGTTTAAAGGTGGACATGGCAAAGACTGGAAGGGAATTGATCACAGCCTTAATCAAGACTTCTTTCTAAGCAGTAGATAAAAATCTATTCCTCCAACTGACTAGCCTCTGTCTCACAGTCTTGACTACAAAGTCAAAAGATTCTTTTTTGGACTTTCCAATACCAAGAGGGAGCCCAAGATATCTGGTAGAGGAATGGGCTGAGATACCAGCAAGCACTGCACACACATCATTTTTCACTGAGGAATCAATGTTCTTGGTGAAGAAGACAGTGGACTTGGACAGATTAACCTTTTGACCAGAGGAAGCTTCATATGTGTTAAGTAGGTCCTTCAGGAGCATAGCTTGACCAATATCTGCCTTACAGAACACAAGTGAATCATCAACAAAAAGCAGGTGAGTGAGCAAGGGCCCATTTTTAGATAATCTGACTCCTCTAAACATCCCATCAGAAGCAGCAGAACTAATCAAGGCAGAAAGGGCTTTTGAAATAATAAGGAAGAGGTAAGGGGCAATAGGATCCCCTTGCCTCAAGCCTCTAGAAGGATGAACCAAGCCCACAACTTCACCTCTCAGCATAAAGGAGAAGGAAGTAGAGGTCGCACAATACATAATCCAGTTCACAAAGAGACCAACAAACCCCATTTTAATCATCAAGGATCTCAGACAATGCCATTCAACACGGTCGTAAGCTTTCATCATATCAAGCTTAACTGCCATAAAGCAATGTTTACCTGATCTGTGTCTGTTTAGATAGTGGA